GACATGGCAGGCCAATGTATCACTACTATCCACCTTGGTTTTCAAGCATTTGTTTATCATCAGTGTGTGCTCCATTTCTAATACCGATCAAGTAATATGGTGCCAGGGGTAATTCCACATTCGTTACAACCAGGGGCGGATTTAGGGGGGGCCGGGCCGACCCCGGCCCCCCCTTTTGGCAGGTAAAAAAAAGAAAAAAAAAGAGAGAAAAAGAAAAAATGATAGCCCAGAATACCTCAAATGTTATGTTCGGGCGTCTAGAACACAAAAATTTCGCGGGGGCATATCAATTAATTTTATTCATTGAACGAATGACCAATTGACATTTTGAAAATCTTTTGGTAGATAAGTTATGTCACGTATTATTATTTAATTCTAATGTTATTAGTAGTCCTATAGTTTTTTACGTGACAAATAATGTTATTTGTGAAATAATATAGAGGTTTTCATAATTACAGTATATTATTACCGAAAAAAATGATAATGTAAATGTGAGCAGAAAATGTATTTAATAAATCAATTTATATTTTGAACCTAATTAGTTTAATATTTAAAAATGATATAATGCACAATGGCTAGAATTTAAAATTATAAAACGCTAAAATGATGGATATCTAACTTACCGGTACTACATGGAGACATTATACAGTTGACAGTTTTGGTGGCGTTTCCTTCACACACGTCCGATTTTATATAAATTAAATCAACGTGTAATTTGCATTCTCTAATGACTACTTCAACACCACTTCCACAAGTAACTGAACAAGGCTGCCATTTTTGCCATTCCGACCATTCAAAAGCAGGCAGAGTTGTGTCTCGAAACTCTGTAAATTATTAATTCTAAAAACGTCACAAACGTTTGGTTGTATACAAATATTCTTTTTTTAATGATCATAATAAATTATCGATTACTGTACAACGTCACTATGCTTGTCAGTTTAATCTAAAATTTTAAAAAATCTAAAAATCATAAAATATCTATTAAACCGGATGCACGTACTGAGCCGCCGGTCGTCGGCCGCCATTCTTTTGAAAGTGCAACGCTGCAAGACGCGCGTAACGGTCGATGTTAACGCGATCCCTCCAGTCAACAATTATCAGACGGCGACGCATCGTCAAGTGCTCACAGAAAGCGGAAAAGGATCCGTCGGCAGAGTCGAATGCAAAACCGCCCCCTACGACGCAGTGTGTGCCGGGCATTACACCGTTACCTGTCGGTTGAATGATGTCATAATACATGTTACTAGTTCTAGGGTTTGTTAAACTCATAGAAGACTGGAACGTAGGCCTATTAGCATCCGTAATGGAACTCATTTTTAAAGTATCCTGCTGCATGTCTGTTGTTGTCTTCGACAATACGTATGTTTCTATATAATCACAAAATCACACAGAGTGAACTTTAAACTAAATAAGTACTTTTGTAGAAGTGGTTTGGCGCAGCGGGAACGGTTGGTTTCCCAAACTCGAGGTCAAGGTTCCCTCTCGCTGTGCATTTTGTTCGTGTCTGTGAGCAAGGCACTTTTTCAGCACTGCTTCTCTCCGCCCAGGAGTATAAGTGGGTACCTGAGTTCCGAGTGCAAAATGCGCTGATATATTTCATGCAGTAAACTATGGAATTATCCCCCATAGGCATCGTTCCAATGACTGGGGTAATAATGTGGAAAGCGCCCGAGACTTAGTTGTGTAAAGTGACAGCTATTATTATTAAAAATGGGCCTCTATCGCGACACTACCATCGACTAAGTGACAATTTTTACATCCATTTTTTAATGAGTCAACAATTACGGACTTTTCGTTACACTTTATTTAGGTTTGGATAACATTAAAGAAAGCTGTATTAGAGTGGGAATTAGAACGTCACTAACCTGTTGGTCGAATCGTTGTGTCATATAACATGTTGGTAATCCAAGAAAGATTAGAAGAACCTACGACAGGCTTAACAGTATTCAAATCCGTATTGATGTGCCCTTTCTTTGTTCTATACCAGTCCTCATACGGGTCATAATACATGTTACTAGTTCTAGGGTTTGTTAAACTCACAGAAGACTCGGCCGAATCGGCATCCGTAATTAAGCTCATTTCTGAAGTACCCTGCTGCATATATGTTGTTGTCTGTGACAATTCATCCACGTATGTTTCTGTAATCATCTCCGTTATTATTGGTTTGATTCTTGATTCATTAACAGCTTCATCGATATCATCGTAATCTGTTGTGTTCATTTTTGTGGTTAATTTATTGATAATTGACCAAATGTTGTCATGTAAGATGGAAACATTGCTGTTATCAAACAGTTCTTCCAATTTTTGAATTTCCTCTTTTGTTTTGTAACCCTTTTCTTGATCCACAAGTTTCATAATTGAAAATAATCGTTTCATTGGCTTAGAGTTTTGTTTAAAATTATCTTTTTCAACATCCAGATGATCTATAGATAAAATTGTTCGAATTATATCTGTAATTAATACAAGGTTTTTCCAAAGAAATTCGCTTTCGCTTTCTTTTATTTTTCTTAGCAAACCATTCACTAGAACCATCTCTTCATTCATAATGCGGATGTTCTGTGTATTCGCTAACGAACTTAACATAGTCACTAGTACATTTACCAGGGTAGTTCTCAATGAATGCGTGACGTTTGAACTAGGTTTAATAATTGTTTCTTTATGATTCTCTAGCAAATTATATTCAGTCGGCGTACTTTCAGTTGTTAAATGATGAAGTTCTGCACTCATGGTTTCTTTTGCAGCATGTTTATCATTGCTTAGGTTGACAGCTAAAAAATCTAACGACTGTTCTACCTCTGCCACAGTGAAATTGTCTATACCTTCGAGAAATCGATTTAATTTTTGCATTTCCTTGACATCAGCATTAGCACTAGAGTAAGCTTTAATGTTCTGCAGAAGATCAATTGTTTTTAGTGAAGATTTTCTATCAATCTCCGCTTCTTCTGAATCATTCAAATTGGTGACCTTTATTTCAGAGGTCCATGTATTGATAATTGACCAAACGTTCTCATTTGATATGGAAAGATTCTCGTTGTCATCAAACAGTTTTTCTAAACTGTCAATTTTTTTATTCAATAAGCCACCCTTTTCCTGATATAAAAAATTCAAAATTGTTAGTATGTCTTTTACAGAAGATATTTTCATTGACTTATACGTTTGGCTATGATTGTTTTCTTTTGAACTTAGTATGCCACTGTTCTTTTCAACATCTAGCGGCTTTGTGCTGTTTAAAGATAACATTTTTCGAATGATATCTGTGATTATTTCAAGGTTTTCTCTTAGAAATATATATATATGCTTAGAAATTTTTCTTAGCATATCCTTCAACAGAATTAGCTCTTCATTTTTAATACGTATTTCCTTTTTAATTTCTAACGAATCTAACAATGTCATAAGTAGATTGACTAAAGTATGTTTTAATGACGACTGCATGACGTCAGAAGTCGGTTCAATAACTGGTTCACTGTATTGGCTAGTGGTAATATCAATATCTTCGTATTTATACGATATTCCATCAATGGAATTATGCTCTTCCAGCCTGTTAAATTTAGTTGTCGTTTCATCAGCTGTTAGATGATATACCGGTGGCATTGTACTTATGGTTTTTTTCGTAACTGGCTCATAAATGTTACTTAGCTGTCCAGTTAACAGATCTAACGATTGTTCCACTTCTGCCGCGGTGAGGTCGTCTATGTCAACATCTTCAAAAACTCGATGGAACTCTTCCAATTCGTTGATTTCAGCAGCGCTGCTAGAGTGTGCTTTAATTTTCTGCACAAGATCAATGGTTTGTAGTGAGGAGGATTGTCTGTCTTCGTCACTTCCATATCGATCGACATATGCTATGACACCTATTAGGAAACAGGAACAGCAACCCGTCAAATGTTTAAGAATAGTTAGCTAGGCCCAGCCGAGTCAAGTTTATACATTTTTGAAAGCAAATTAAGACACATTAAGAAAATGTAGCAACGCCCAAATAACAGTTCCAGTATGAACATACAGTAATTGCTTCAAGTTCCTTTTTTAGTATGGAAAGAGTGTCTAAGATGAATTTGAAGCTCTCTGTCAAGGCTAGTATCACGCCGTTAGACAAAAACATAGTACCTTAATGATGTACATTTAGATATCCCCCAGGTACCTTCTCTCATACAACTGACTTGTACATAGTTGAGATAGGCCTAAGTCATTTAAATCATACTCATTCGCGATAACTAAAATTAAAATTAGGTTTGCCGTGTATGTACCGTTAATTGTTTTCATATATTTAATTTTATTTAGTTATTAAAACGTAACAAAAAAACATCATCACAAGGATGAAACGTCTGAAATTACAATGAACAATAACTTAAAGCAGCATTGGCACACACAATTTCAAAATATTTTTACCAAACAAGAATGAAATTCAAACATTTTCTAATAAAATTACAATTATACTCACAATTCAATTAAACAATTGTTTAAAAATAAAAGAATTATATGGCTTTTATTAAGTATTTAATGATTGAGATTATATATAGACAAATAAATAAATATTGATTATTTGTTATATTTATTTTTTTTATTTTAAACCATATTTAAAGAGGTGACCCTTCCAAATGTTTAGGAATAGATACGATTTTAAATCATTTCTTTATTAAAGAACTATTTTACTATGAATGATTAGTTATCTACCGGTATTTTCTATTCAGAAAACAGGCAAAGGACTAGCCTAAGCATAGGCTAGGCCTAGGCCTAGGCCTAGACCTAAAATAAAAAATAATGAAAACACCACTAGGCCTAGGCCTATTTCCCCAGACATTATAATAACCCAAAGAAACTTACCTACGACATAAGTTAAGACCATAAATCGACACATCAAAAAACGTATAGGGCTATTCTTCATTATTGTATTGTAACACCATGCTATTAATATTACTATTATTTTTATTATTATTTATACAATACCCACGAGTACAGACTTAAAAATGACAGTTGCAGTATGATTACGCGTTATATTCTGTATGGGTGCGCGCGCGATTGGGAAGCCCAATGCGCGATGCACAGGAAAATATCGCGCAAACTTGCTAAGGATTGGGAGACTTTTTTTTTTTTTTCATACTTGTTTTTATCAAAGATTTTTGTATATTAAAGCCCCATTCCCGGCAAAATTTCACTAAAATTGACTTTTTTTAGAAAATATGCATTTGCATTACTTCAATTATTATAAATCATGGAAAAATATTGGCATGAATTTTAGTTTTACGCAAAAGAATAAAAAAAATGAGAAATACAAACTATTTCTCATAAAATATTACCATTTTCTCGACGAATTCATCGTTACTAGGCAAATTCAGAGGTTGTAGATCGCATCCACTGGAATACTCTCGCTTGTATGTATACTTTATACAGTCAATAAAGTGCGCCCTCTCTAATGAGATTAATTTTTGTACTTCGCATCTCGCACAATGCGGTCGTTCGGTTAGGCTGAGATATGTTTGTTTAAGTGTCAAAATCTCAGTCAGAATCAGTTTTTTAACAAATTTGGTATATACGGTAATAACAATTATTATTACTTTATTAATTACTATATCTTCACTTACTATCATTTACAGTAATTTAATAATTTGTTAATATTACTTAATTTGATTATATTGCCCTTGTTATTTATTTACCTTTCAGAAGAATTTTATATTGTATTTTTTCGTTGTGTGAAATAAAATAAAATGAAATGAAATGAAACGCAAAAATGTTGATTTTCTGTTAATTTAGGCCTATTTGTGCAAATTTTGCATTCCAATAATAACCCGAATTGAATAGGTAGTCAGTATGAAAAGTAAATTTTAAGTTGGGTTTCTATTAGATGTTCTCCGTTAAACCTTTACCTCCATTTTCACAGGAAATCCTGAACGGATACACTATAACTATTTTTCACAAACTATGAGCATTGTATTGGCGACATGATCCGGTGCTGTACTTATAAACACTTGAAAGCAGGAAGGCCATCGCAGTTCAACTACATTATGTTATCGATAGGCTGTTTTAATAATCTGGTATAATATACAATATACATTTTCTTCCTCATTCTCCAAGGCTTTCGCTAACTGTTTTTGTGACACTGAAGACAGATCATAATATTACCATGTTACGGTAGGTACCAGCTTCGGGTTTTAATGTAGACCTAGGCCTATATTTTATGATTTAGGATACCGATATTAAACTGCACTTGGAGAGGTGCATGTATGTATACTAGGGGAAAAGGGTGGGTTTTGTTGTATATTTTTATTGTGATAGTGTTTACCTTCAACTTTGTTTTCCGCTGATGGATTTGAATTATTTTAATCCTTCAATGTTTTTGGTTTTAACATTCTTATGTGCAACACTTTCATTTACATAATGTTTATGACTTGTTCCAAATCATGAGTAATATTATGGTGGAAATACAATTGTTTTGTTTGTTGCTATTGTGTGCCATTCCAAATTTTCGAAATCTAAATCGTTACTGATGTATTTAAAGCAAATATGCCTATTATTATTAATCTTCTGTGCTTTGTTTATTAGGTCAGTGATAGGCCTACTTTTTCTGTCAGTGTACACTATCCGTGCCACAGAAGTTTCCCGTTTTGGCGATATGTTTGGTCAATTATACTCGCCCGACTATCCAGCCACCTATGCTAATAACCTCAACAAATTATGGAATATTACAGTGCCTCGTGGGTTCAAAGTTGAACTATTTTTCCAAGATTTTGATCTCGAATTCTCTAAAGATTGCGAATATGACTACGTTAAGGTAACGTCATATTTTAAATGAGTCATTTTCATTTAAGAAACTATAATACATACTCCTAATGATGATATGATTAATGTCGAAATATAGAATCCCAACACGATGGCGTGCATTTCAATATACTTGGAGTATGTATTATGAGATTAATCAGTGGACCTTTCAGTCATTTTAATTTGTTTTTCATGCTATAGTTGGTATTTTAGTTTTTGAAACGTCATTTCCCAATGATTGATATTTGTATTCATATCTGTATAATTATTGTGTACGTTATATAGGAACACGTTATATTTTCATTGCGGATTTTTTGGGCTCAGTACGGACAGTAGCGTATGCGGATTTTATAAGTCCGCAATGACGATATAGCGTGTTTAGGCCTACTTTTCAAAATAAGACTGTTATGAGTGATTCTAATCAAAACGTGTTATTTTGTAATTAAAAAAAGTACGGAATATCTTCTTCGTCGTTAAAATATGTCCTTAAAAGTAATATCAAGTTAAAATAACAGCCTATTTAATCTTGACACTTTTTGTGGAATCATTAACATTAGGTATCTACCGATGAAGCAGTGCTTGGACAGTTTTGTGGTGGCAGCAAAATTGGAGTTGACAGTACACCTGGTGACGTAAAATTTACATCAACTGGCAACCAAATGGCAGTAGTCTTTCACTCCGATTACTCGAACGAACACAATTTCTATGGTTTCTCTGCACACTACCGTGCAAATGACATCAATGAATGTGATACAGAAAATGGCGGATGTGATCATTATTGTCACAACTACCTCGGAGGATTTTACTGTTCTTGTCGTCTAGGATACGAGTTGCATGCTGACCGTTTGTCGTGTACAGGTAATCTGATGTTTATAATTTTAATAAGGTAAACATATACTTATGAGTAGCCTATACAGAACAGCATTGGAATATATTTGTGAATCGAAATTTCTCACTATAGGTGATTTCTTTAGGATGAAAAATCTGTACGCTATAATTTCTCTATTTATCGATGGCCTTACACATGTTGTAATGCTTTGTATGTTCCTTTAGTGGAGTGTGCAGGGAACATGCTGTATGCCAGAGAGGGTGTAATATCTTCGCCCGATTATCCACTACAATATCCTAGGCAGTTGCAATGCGATTGGACAATCAGCGTGGAAGCAGGTTACGTCATTAATCTAAATTTCACAGACTTCGATGTAGAAGAACACCCTGACGTCATATGTCCATACGACTATTTGAAAGTAAGAGCATTTTTAACTTTTAAATGCATCTCTGGAGTTGTATGGAACCCCACCATTTATTTTATGTTTTACTTTATTTTAAGAGGATGATCCTTAAGCTAGGACTCCAAGGGGGCTAGTTTCACTCCATATTGTATTTACATAAGTGTTAGATCTACCGTTTTTATTGATTGATTGATTGAATACTGATGATGCAAAAGTAGATGTCAATGTCCTTAACGACAATAGAGATTCTTTTTATAATGAATTTATCCTCTCAGAACTTGATGTTTTGCAAACATTCATCATTATTTGTTGCTCACCATGCAAACGTAATTCCAAATAAATGGCACCACAACTTATATTTTATATATATATATATATATATATATATATATATATAAGTTTGTGGTGGGTATTGACACATACTTTAACTTTCATCTTTGTATATACAATGAGTGTCTGAAATATTTGAAGTTCATAGAAGCTTATTTATAGCTTCGTGACAAACTTAATAATTCCGATCATTCAGATTTATTCCCATTCAAAATTCTTCAAACATTCATTGAATATTATTTATTATAATATATCCCTTATTAATAACATTGTGTTACTATTTTAATTATTATTGTTTTCAATAAGATTGAGAGTGACGGAAATATTGACGGTCCCCTCTGTGGAACCGAAAAGCCACGTGACATTACTACTAGAGGCCACGTTGCAAAGATCTCCTTCCACTCCGACGGTCTCAGAGGAGGACGTGGTTTTGAAGTTGTATACACTACCACAGGTATGACAAATACTCTGTAAAGTATAAAGTATCAAGGGACGTCACTGGTTCATATTCGTATTGTATATACTGTAGTGCCTGTGATAATATCATTGGTAAACGTCCAAATGCTCAGAATCGGCTTCGTTCAAAGAAAAAAAAAGCGACCAAGAAGGTGGCATCTATTCAAAGCGTGGTGTCTATTTGAATAAACGCGGTATGCTTCTAATACAAAAGAATATAATATCGAACAATTTCCTTTACATAAATCCAGTATGCTTTCTGGTCTTTATGGCGCTGAACTTGTTCGTTTCTATATCAGTACCATACCATTAGACCTATTCTAGAATATGCAGTTCCAGTTTGGGGTACCAATATCACTAAGCAGCAAAGTTCTGCAGATCCAAAAACGAGCGCTTAAGTTTATCCGTCCTGGTGCTAGTTATAATGGAGCTCGGTCTCTGCTTGAAATGCCAACATTGGAAGAGCGCCGTGTTCGACTGTGTGGGGAATTTCTTTAACATAATCAAAGAATCTAATCAGATTAAATCATTACCTACAGCCCGTGATGCTAAATAAAATCATAGAAGAACCCGTCAATTTTGAATCCCGAAAACACAAATCGTTAAAAAACATTTATAATTAATCATGGTTGTTCCAAAATTGCCGTCTCCTTCCGTTTGTTCTGATGTGTTTTTTTTTTCTCTAGAAAACTCATTTTGTGTTAAACTTCAATCACTTTTTAACATGGATGATTTCAATAAAATATTCCTATTTTGTATCCTAATACATCATTCTTGATCAACTTTACAGCCAAACCATGTGTTGAAATATCAGCGCCTCTTTACGGTTCGATGATCGGAGATGAATTTACCTTTAAGGCAACAGTTATCTTTGAGTGTCAAGATGGTTACATCTTAAAGGGCTCCGAGTCCAGGTCTTGTAAAGCTGATGGAAGCTGGACAGGAGTGACAACCTCGTGTCAAATTGTAGAATGCGATCAACCGCCTTCAATACCACACGGCTCATGGAGGAGTCTTAGTAATAACTTCACTTTTACAAACAGTGTGGAATATGAATGTGATGAGTTTTATGATTTATCATTGGAGTCGGATAGCGTCAGGATCTGCACATCAAATGGCGTATGGTCTCCTGATCAGCCTGTCTGTGAACAAATTTGTGGCGAGGCATCCGTTTCTCCACATACCCGACCATCGGAAGTCGGAGGGCGTATTGTAGGTGGCAGACGTGCGGTACCTGGATCTTGGCCTTGGCAAGCCTTACTTAAAATCACACGGTCGAAGTTTTCAGTGAGCAAATCCATGTGTGGCGGAGTGTTAATAAATGAGCAGTGGGTCATTACGGCAGCACATTGTTTGAATGATACGGCACAAGAGCGGGGTCGTGCCATCTTACCAATAACTTCACTACAGATATTTCTCGGTACGAACGATATCACTGCAGATGACTCATTTGAGGTAGGCCTAAGCATTATACATTAACCTTTGGATGTTAAAATAGAATGTAGGCCTATATTGCTATAGCCGAACTCAAATTCTACACATTCTAAGATTACACCATAGGAATTAATAATAGTTGCACCCGCCTTATTGTGTCCAAAAATGTGTTGCTATATATATATATGTATATACATATATATATAAGAGACAGGGTTTATCCAGAAAAGATTATAGCCCATCCGGATTTTGATATAATCGCTTTTGATGCTGATATCGCCTTAGTGAAGCTGAACCAGTCTGTGCAGTTCTCTCCTATGGTACGCCCTGTGTGTCTCCCAGAACAGAGTACGAATGTCAGTAATGATAATAACGATAATATTGATCACGGCGACCTACCATCAAGAAAAGGTGTTGTTATTGGCTGGGGCAAACAGGCGAGTGACCGTGGTACCTCGAATTACTTGCGAGAGGTATACGTTCCACTGGTGTCAAGACAAAAATGTCGTAGTGTATACAGGCCGCTTGAATATCCGATCACCGAAAACATGGTATGCGCGGGGGAAAGACGAGGTATGATGAAAATTGATTCTCTAATTATATTAAGATATGTTAATGATAATTCTCTGGTGAATGTCAGCCCCTGTTTTTAGACTGAAGAACCCCAATACGTACAAAGGAAATTACAGGTGGAATTCACTGTGAGAAGAGTAGATCTCTTTGATGCTGATACGCTTGGAAAGTAGACAGACCCGCTGTGCATTACACGTTCTAGTAGAAAAGGCTTCTCTTCTATGTATATATGTATATGTGCTGTCTCTTATAGGTGGGTGTGGGTGTGGATGTGTGTTATATGAAACTGTTACATCCATTTTTTTTATTTTACAGGGGGAAAAGACGCATGCGAAGGTGACAGCGGTGGACCATTTATGTTCAGAAATTACGACTTGGCCTATTTTGCATATGGACTAGTGTCGTGGGGAAACGGTTGCGGCAAGGAAGGATACTACGGTGTGTACACACGGGTGGACAAATATGTCAATTGGATAAGAAACGTTACGGCAACAGGCTAGAAACGACGCACGGAAACTCCAGAAACAATGCGCTTACAGTTTAATAATGTGTTGAAATTACAAACTGATTGACAAATAAAGTTGGTTGTTTCCTCCAAAGAAGAGGCAAAAAAAAAGAAAGAAAGAAACCCATAAATATAACCCAAAAGAAAAAAAAAACGCGCTTACAGGTTAGAAGCAATACGGTCCAGGAGCATTCAGCTTAAAAGATTTCAGCCAAGAACTGCTAACAGCAAACTAGAAACATTAGTGCAATAGGTTAGAATCGTTAATTCAGCGTATGTCAAAAATATGACCTCTTTTTTCATACAACCATAATAAAGAACTTTCGTTGATAAATTAGTTTTAATGGGATATATAACATAATTTTCCTATATTTGAGCACTGATTATCTATTTGATATAATGTAAAAATACAGCTTTGAGTTGTAGACTTAATATGAAGAAAAAAGTATTTAATAAATCACAAACGTTTCAAAACAGGACCTGTGGAGGATAACTGACAAGAAGTACATGGTAAAGAAAATATTAAAGAAATGTTATTTAAATAACAAGAGAAACTGATTAAATGCAATATATAAAAATAATTAATTATTTTCATATACCGCGTTTGTCTTGTTATTTAAATTCATTATAACATACCATTCCTTATTTTTCAAGGGAAACTGAAAGGCTACATTGGCAAACAAGATAATGTCTCCCACCAATGAGTACCCATCCCCCCCCCCCCCCATA